ATACATGTATTTTAGACACTGATAATTGTGTCTAAGTGCTGTTGAAGGTGTGAAGACCTTCTGAGATTTATTTTGTGCATATTGCTGCTGCATCCTGTATTTCAAGGATTGGAATTTTGGCAAAAAAATTGTTACCTCTCTTAAAGAACTGTCTTGTTCTTTGCGACTGATTTGCATAAAGTCCTAGAACCTCGAACAACGTAACAATATTATTTGAAAATGCTTCAGTTAGGAATACACAATTGGATTTATTTCACTGAATGTAACAAATTTGAAGAGGCCAATTCATGATAAAAATTATATACTCCTTACCTGTATACAATACCTATTTTGTGTAAAAATTTCAGAGCACTGACTATTTCTGCACCATAAAACCTACAAGAAAAAGAAATTTAGAAGACAAGTGAATAAACATGCAGTATATAGTAGCATGATATATGCAGAAATAATTTCTATATAATGTAAATTGGTATACATTTGAAACATGCTCAAGCATAGTTTTCACAAACATGGTTTGAAATATCTGATCAAAGTATCAAAAAAAAAGAGAACTTTTTTGATATAAAAGACAACTATTTATTTTGATATTCAAATATAAATCCATTTGTTTTCTTAATTGAAAATTACAGAAGTATTACACCCTTACTTTATTATGTGATATTCCATTAAAAAATACCAAAAAATTCTACCAAGGATTATTTCAAAAATCCTATCTAATACAGTAACAAACTCATATTTTTAAATGATATATATATATATATATATATATATATATACATGATATATATATATACCTACATACATGATTTTTATATACATATGTAGAAAATTTTACTTTTTTTATAATTAGATATGTAATTTAATTTTCTTATGTTTAAATTATAAATATAGATAATGTCATAAAAATTATATATAAATCATTGTTGATTATCGCATATGCAATGCATTCAGATATATTTTTGATTGTTATGAAAATGATAAGTAAACAGAGCCAATTATTTCTGAAATCAGTGACAAAATAAGAAATTACCTTTAAGCTATCTAATAAAAATTGTAATAGAATTCACAATTTCATTTTTTGAACTTACATTGCTCTCTCTAATTTAAATATCCTCCTTTTTTCGATATGGAACATCAAATCCCCTCCATTTAAATATTCCATTACGAAGAATAAATAACTCTGAAATGATATTTCATTTCATTAAGAAAGAAGTATTACTATATTTTATGATTAAAACTGACAAAACTACAAAAAGAGCAGATTACCTGAGTTTGAAACGTACAATACAATTTGCACATGTAGGGATGTTGAGTGCCTGATGCTAACACTCTTCTTTCAATTATAATACTCTCCACATCATCATCATCCAAAATTTCATCTTTCCTTAAGCATTTTACTGCAAAATACATACCATGGCCCTTTAATTCTGCAAGCAGCACCTATATAAAAAAAATCAAATATAAGTAAGTATGGAAAATCTTTTACTTAAATATACAGAAAATAGACTTAGAAAAAAATATTATATTTGAATGTAATATTTCTACATTTTAAAAGTACAAAATTATAATAATTGGAATTCTGAAACTGATTTCCATAAATAAATGGTATTGTTTACACTTCTAAAAACACACAGAAATATCTTTCTCAATAAATAATTCTGTTTGACGAACTTGATATTAACATTTATCCTGGAATATGAAACGGATATGTCGTCGGAAATGTACGAAGGTAAAATGTCTTTATTATTTTGTGAAGTATACAAATACAGTTTCAGTCACTTAAGAAATTCCCCGCATATATAAATGGTTGCTTTAAATGACTTTACAAAAAGATGCACTAAAGATTTACTACAAATTTGAATAAGTATTACAAATATAAATTTTAAAATTTCAATATATATTGCATGAAATTAACTTTTTTAAAATTTTACAACCAATTCAGTGCTACACACTTTTCAAACAATTCTAAGACACATAACACATTGACAGTCTCAGAAAACATGTGTTGAGATATAAACTTAACTGCATACTGACACAGAAACCTAATCATTTGTCGATACTGGAATTCTTCAAAATTAGAGGATTTAATGGTAAAAATGGCAATTTTTGTTTTAGGTTGAGATGTATACTTCTGTGTGTTCTACCTCTAAATCTAAGTACATTTCCTTTTTTTATTTTACAAAAATGTAATAAAAAACAGATACGTATACAATTAAAACAAGTATCACTTTACAGATACAGAAATTTTAACAAGTATTTTTTCCAAGAGAAATAAAATTCCCACTCTTTATTTCTAATACTCTGAAAAATCGAAAAAAATTCAATACCTTAACAAATTAGAGAAGAGTACAATAAAAAAGGATGTAATTTGTAAATAATACTTAAAAACAAACACATTTTTATCAGAAATAGTGCATAGTTTCGATTTTTGTACAATTTGAAGTCTAAGAATTTATATCTTTTGAATGCAATATTTTTCATAGATGTTTTAAAAACAAGAATTTTAAATGAGGCCTGGGGATGGGATTGAAAATCAAAGAGAATAAGACCAAATACACGCTTTGCACTAAACCATGTTTTAACAATTCCCACTTTAAAATTGAAGAGTATAAATTTGTAGTTGTGTGTTGACAGTTTCACTTACTTAGGTTCCGAAATCAACAATAGAAACGATTGTACTACTGAAATTCAAAAGAGAATTTCTATCGCAAATTGATGTCTTAATGGAATACGAAAATATATGAAATCGAAATTAATCAAAAGAAAAACAAAGATTTCACTGCATAAAAGTCTTAAGATCAGTATTAACTTATGCATGTGAAACTCGGTCATGTCTCGAGCAGATGAGAACGTAAATATCTACGAAAGAAAGATTTTAAGATTTATTTTTGAAGGAATTCAGATTAAATGGAACGTGGCGAATATCAAATTTCGAGCTCTATCAATCATATAAAGAATCTGACATTGTTAACTTCATCAAAATACAACGAATTAAATGGGCAGGCCACGTTGTCAGAATGGACGAAGACCGAACCACTAAAAAAGTCTTCAATGTCCAACCAATTAGCGCACGAAGAAAGGACAGGCCAAACCTTGATGGAATGATGACCTAGAAAAAGATTTCCTAGTTTTGAGAACAAAGAATTGGACAACACTAGCAGGAAGAAGGCTGGCCTGCAAAAGGCTTCTTGAGAAGGACAAGGCCCACCCTGGGCTGTCGAGCCTCTGAGGAAGGAAGGAACAGAATAGTTGTAAGCAGAACAAATTACATACTCGGCGAAATACGAGACTGAAAACTATGAGAACTCAAAACATAATCCTTTTAATAATAATCACTTGATTTGAAATTCTCCTATGCTCTGAACAAAAATCGTTATAAATCCTTGTTTTGAAGTTTAGGCAATCTCACGCACATGGTTCTATTCTTTAATAAAGTACCGTAGTGCTCGACCGGATAAAATTCGAAAATTAAATTTTCTTTATTCCTTCAAAATAATTAAGCGATGCTTGATAAATTTCAAAAGAAAAAACGATACAAATTTGAAATGGATTATTTTAAATTCAAAAACGAAAGCAATACTTCTATATTTTTATAAATATACAAACAAAATACCAAAATAAAACTATTTTAAAAAATGCTGCTTCCAGAGAAACAAAAACATGCGAAAGTTTAAAAAAAATAAACTCCCATATAAAAAACAAAACCTTTTTTATTAGAACAAGGAGTAAAAGTCAAATACGTCGATAATTGACCAACTTGGCAAGTAAAACTAGGTCTAAGTGTGTGTGTGTGGGGGGGGGGGGATCACCAAGTCAGCAATTTGAGAGGATCGGAGAAAACAAAACAAAATAACTATCTGCTTGTTATAGGACTCTTGACGTAACTAGAACCCAAAATAGCTTATATTTGATGCTTAGTTTTCAATAATGTTTAAGGAGGTATCATCACATCTTTTGAAATACAAAATGTACTTTCGATTAATAATTCTGATGATATAAGTATAAAATTATTACTCTTTTTTACTTTTATAAATAATACTTATGTGAAGAGCTTCACATTATGAAGAATTTCAGAAAATCTTGCGTGTTTAGATTGGAGTAATAATAACCAACAATCGTATTTCATGTAATTATAGGTGTGAGCATCTGTTAACAAAAATATCCAGAATTATATGAAATGAATACATTTGGTTTTTAAAGTAATAATTGAAAATAAGACTTGGAAACAAAGAATGTTAAAACCAATGGATTATTTTTGCAAATACAACTTGAAAGTGTTCGGACGGGGGGGGAGGGATTAAGGTGCAGCGAAATATATAATATTTTACAAAACAAATTTATATATAAGAGTATTTATCTTCAGTGCATAGTACAATCTTGTGAATTGAATGACTCATTGTTTATGAATGCCAACCCTAGAAGCAAATGAGAACTATTGGCGAAGGATCGCATAATACTGAAGCATAATCAAGTGACTAGGACGGCATCTGAGTTGGAACCCCACACTCCAACTTCTACATTTTAGCAATTTTTTTTACTAGATTTCAATGTAGTGGGAAAACGTGATAAAGGGTTTTATATATAAATTAAAATATTAAATATTTCAATTAAAGTATAAATTAAAGAATTCAATTAATTTCATTGTTTTAACTAATTAAATTTATTAATTTAAACTCTGAAATTTTTCGAAATCTCATTCAAAGAAATTTCAGCTACTGTATAATTGTAAACATTAAATAATTACAGATAATCGCCTCCTATTTTTTCAATTCCAACTATATTAAAGTTCACGCTCTTCCTATACATATTTATTTATAAATATCTTGTTCAAAATTTCCATCGTTAACAAAATACATTTTATTCATAATAATTCAAATATATTCACTTGATGCTAATACAGTTTTCAAATATTAATTCATTCCTTAAGTTTAATTAATGAAAAAACAATAACAAAAATTAATAGTCCAACACCATATATAAAAAGGAAAACCGCTCGTTGTGTCCTTGTAGCGCAGTGAATAGTGCATTGGACTTCTAATCCAAAAGTCGTGGGTTCGAATCGCACCTAGGATGGCCTAATTTCTGAGAATTTGTGATTTTTTTTACTATTTTTTTATTGGAAGAACTAAATTTAATTAATGAATAAATAATAACAAACAAAAATAATAGTCCAATACCATATATAGAAAGAAAAATGGACAATTTCAAGGAAAGTCGCTTTCTATTTTGCCACAATATTGTGATTATGTCATATGTATATACATACTTATATTATAATAGTAATTATTTAATAAAAAGTAACTAAAATAAAAATTTTCTTTGTTGACCTAAGTAGGAATTGACTTAATTTTTTTTAATATTACTTGTTCAATAAAATATTGCTATAGATTTTTTTTGCAACGTTAATATACTTATATATTTGCAGCTACGCTCAAGAAAAGGAAAAAGCATTCCTCCTTACCTTGCATTCAGAGGTTATTTTTTCTAAATTTTAAAATTCCCGCTTTAAGTCTGCTTGCACAAATAAACTTTATTAAACAAAATTGTTAACAAGATAAGTGAAAAAGAAAAATTTCCATAATGAGAATAAAAAGAGCATATACACTCCAATTACTCTAACGTTTCTACCTGTTCATTGTTTCGTAACCGTACCGGTGGTCTTTAAACTGTGTTCCAAGGAGCCCTGCGGTTCCCTGAGTCGCAATAAAAAAAATCGAAAAGAAAATTATAAATGTCTATGCAAATTGGATTCATGTTCTCTATAAAATTTGCATAACCGCAAATATCTGAAGCTCAACCCAGTAATTAAAACGGAAAATTTTATTGAAACATAAATTTATTTTGTAATACTTTTTGAATTTTTATTTAATATTATAATATAAAGGGATATAAAAAACGTTTTTTTCTTCTCCTTTTATACGTGCTATCTACTAGATAGAGTGTAGATTCTCTATTATTTACAGTCTCAGGTTTCACAAAATAATTTTACACTCGTTACTACAATGTTTTGCATAACGCCGGCTGGGTGGCGAAGTTAGTTTGTCGCTGACCCTGTAAGCCCAAGTTTGCGGGTTCGACCCCGGCACAAGTCGGTGGATTTTTATGATGCAGAAAATCAACAGCATCCATGTCACATGATTATGCGGCATGTTAGATCCCTAAAGTGCTTGTTTGGCTTGGGTGCTTCTCGGCAAAATTAAATTCCGAGAACCATTTCACTTTGTCAGAGCTCAGGGGAGGAAACTGTCAAAATTGTATAGTGGCAATTGGCATTTCCCCTATACGGTGCCGCACTAAAAAGTGATACTAGTTTTCAGAGAACGTACTAGGTCTGCAATGGTAATTACCGATCCGCAGCATCATTGGAAATTTATAAAAAAAAAACGTTTTTCATAACTAAATAGTTTTTTTTACAAGAAAATGCACTTTTTTTATTTGTGGAAAAAACCCATCTGTAATGAAGAAGAGGGAACAATTTATCGACATTACAGCACAGATTTGATTTTAAAATTTAAAATTAAGCAAAAACAACTCCTAAAATTTGGATTTCAAAGTCATGCAAAATAACACAAAAATTTTCACGCAGCTGTAAACATTTTAATGCCATTCAGAACAATGTAAATGAAAAATGTTTCTCAATGTAGGCTATAAAAACAAAACATAAAACAAATTAAATGCAGATCATTTCAGTAGACCTAGAACTCCGACAATTTGCTAAAATAGACAAATGCAAGCATATATCCTAGTTACTAAATCTAATGCATTGGTAGGTGACACTTGGATTCGAAATTCATGAGGAAATCATTTGAAAATCACATTCAATAACAAATACAATACTTTTTCGAAATGTCTATATAGAAAACTAGCTGTTACACGCCCGCTTCGCATCATGTTTTATAAATTTCTACTGCTTATATATATGTATAAATTATTGATATCTAAGTCCTAGCATTAAGAATTCGATTGAATTGAAAAATATACTTAGACCTGTAACTGTCGCCTGTTGATAAAAAAAAGGGCAGAACTCATCTAATTTGTATTTTCTAAAAATCTCTAAAATTGAAGCATAGAATGATGTTTGCTCTTTCGTAACTCAAAAACCAAGTGGATTCCCGCAAAAACAATTTTCGGTGGATCTCTACTCCGTAAATTGAACATGCAAGCCAAATTTCAAGTCTAAATCTAACAGAAAAAAGCAAAAGTTTTACTATAAATATCCCCGTAATCCCGTTGAGAGCCGTTTTCCAAAATTACCGCTCTTAGCGGATTTCAATTCAACAAAAGAAAAATGCAAACCAAATTTCATTACTATAGTCCTTGTAGCTCGAAAAAAGTAATTTTTTTTTGTCAATACGTCCCAGTAACCCCCTGCAACCCCCAGAACTCTTGATTTGCTTAAAATTTATTCTTAGTGGATCCCTATTCAACAAAAGAAACATGCTTAACAAATTTCAAGTATATGGGTCTAACAATTAAAAAAAGGAATTTTTTTCTGTAACTCCTCTTGACCCCTCGCAAGCATCTTTGGGGGTCAATTTTCATTTTACTCTTTGTTAGAGGAACTCTATTTCATGAAAGGAAAATGCCTACCAATTTTCAAACAGGATGATCAAGTAGTTTAAAAATGGAAATATTTATCGATTACGCCTCTTAATCTCCCGAAATTAAACTTAGTAGTTGATATTCGCGAAACCCATTTTGTAGCGGTTCTCTACTTTACGAAAGGAATCTGCTTATCAAATTTCAAGACTGTACGTCTAACAGTTTAAAAATGTAATTGTCTATAACGCCACTTGAGCCCCCGCAACGCCACTTCTGGGTCTGTTTTCACAAAACCCATTTTGTAGGGGAATTGCACTCTATGAAAGGAATCTGCTTAGCAAAATTTGAAGACTGTGCGTCCAATTAATTAAAAATGCAAAAAAATTATCAATAACGCCCCTTGAACCCCCGCAACACCACCTAGGGGTCGATTTTCACAAAACACATTTTGCAGTGTATTTCTATCCTATGAGAGGAATCTGCTAACCAAATTTCAAGACTGTGAGTCTAATAGTTTAAAAAAAGAAATAATTATTTATATCTGCCCTTAACCCCCCGCAACACCCCTTGGGGGTCAATTTTCTCCAAACCCGTTTTGTAGCGGATATTTACTCCATGAAAGAAACATTCCTACCAATTTTCAAGCAGGTAGGTCAAATAGTTTAAAAACGAAAATATTTATCTCTTACGCCACTTATTCCCCTGCAACGCCACTTAGAGGTCTGTTTCCACAAAACCTTCTTATAGCTGATCTCTACTCTATGAAATAAATCTCTTTATCAAATATAAAGACTGTGCGTCTAATAGTTTAAAAATGGAAATAATTATCTATAACGCCCCTTAAGTCCCCTCAACGCCACTTGGGGGCAATTTTCACGAAACCCATTTTTAGCGTATCTCTACCCTATGAGAGGAATCTGCTTACTAAGTTTCAAGACTCTACGTCTAATAACTTAAAAATAGGAATTTATAACGCCCCTTAAAACCCCCTCCCCCGCAACACCCCTTGGGGGTCAATTTTCCCAAAACCCATATTGTAGCGGATATTTACTCCAGGAAAGAAACTTACCTACCAATTTTCAAGCAGGTAGGTGAAGTAGTTTAAAAACGGATATATTTATCTATTATGCCCCTTAATCCCCCGCAACGCCACTTAGAAGTCTGTTTTCACAAAACCCGTTTTGTAACTGATCATTATTCTACGAAAGGAATCTATATATCAAATTTAAAGACAGTGCGTCAAATAGTTTAAAAATGGAATTAATTATCTATAACGCCCCCTAAGCCCCTGCAACGCCACTTGGGGGTCGATTTTCAGCAAACTCATTTTGTAGCGGATCTCTACTCTCTGAAAGGAATCCGCTTACCCAATTTCAAGATTGTACATCAAGTAGTTTAAACATGGAAACTATTATTAAAGCCCTTAACCCCCCGTAACGCCCCTTGCGTTTCGAATTTCGGAAAATCCTTTCTTAGCTGATGTCTACTCTATCAAAGGAACATGTCTACCAAATTTCAAGTCTGTAGGTTGAATAGTTCCAGAGATTTCGTGATTAGTCAGTCAGTGAGTCGCTTTTCTCCTTTATATATATAGATACCAATAACAAGTTGATCTACTTTAAATATTTTAAGCCATATTCGTTTAATTGTCGAATGGGGTTCCCAGAGCTCTAAGGGTTCCGTGATTCAAAAAAGTTTTGAAGACCACTGCGTTAGACTAAGAAGGGGCAGAAAAATGTACAGCATTAATATAACTTAGCTTTTTCGAGCGAGATGCACCAGTTCTGACACATGTTTCAACCTAACAAAAATCTGGAGGTTATATATAACTCGAATCACTTTGCTGCGAGTCTTCCAATTTTAGATACCGTCCTTGGCATTCACCTTGCTTTCGTAAAAGAAACCAATAAAAGGGACCTCCTTGTTATCAGATCTTTGATGGCTCAAACCTGACATTCTATTTATTCCGCAGAGGAATGGAGAATAAACGAGCAGAGATATAAATCTTTCACAAGTGGGAACACAAAGAGATACAGATTCAACATTAGATCTAGTTTAAGGCGTAGTGATCGGAAAGTGTAGTGGTGGTGAAAAGTACATTCGTGGTGCAAAATATTATTTAGTTGCAATAATTTCAGAAATATTTTATTACTAATCATTATTACTAATTAGCAGACTACTCTTTGGAAAGAAATACGCACTAATAGGTAATTACCAATTCAAAAGCTTATTTGATACCGGAAAATTTAAATCTCAGAAAAGACAATTCAGAGAAAGAATAAGATAGAGAAAAACATTAATAATAAATATATTTGATGTAAAATGAAAATACACGCATTGACGTATTTTAAATTACTTTAATGCATTATTCTATTCTCAAATTTTAACGTTTAAATATAATTTAAACACGTTTTAGAAAAATTCTTCCTTGTTAGATTTTTTTTTTCTCACTCACATAGGTTACAGGATATTGACTAAGCACGATAATCACGTCGTAAGTACATTGGTATACGACGTATAATACATTAGTA